CTAAGACTCTGGTTTTGTTGCAACAATGCCCTCTAAATATCCCCTGATTGGTTGCACAATGCACTTCTAAACCCTGGATTTGTTGCACTATTGCACACTTCATAAATAACCCCCCCAGGTTTTTTTGCACAATGAACCCTCTAAAAAAACAGGATTTTTTGGCACAATGCACACTTTAAAAACATGGATTTGTTGCACAATGCACCCTCTGAAATCCCTGGGATGGTGGGCACAATTTTTTTTGTTTTTTTTTTACCCCCTTCTAAAACCCTGGAATTTGTATGCACAATTGCAACACTCTTAAACCCTGATTTGTTGCACAATGTACCCTCTAAAACCCTGGATTTTGTTGCACAATGCAAACTCTAAAAACCTGGATTTGTCTATTTGTTGCACAAGTACCCTCTAAAAACCTGGATTTGGTTTGACACAATGTACCTCTAAACCCTGGATTTGTTGCACTAGGCAACACTCTAAAACCCTGGATTTGTTGAACAATGCACACTCTAAACCTGGATTGTTGCACAATTGGCACCCTCTAAAACCCTGGATTTGGTTGCACAATGACCATCCTAAAACCCTGGATTTGTTGCACAATGTACCATCTAAAGACCCTGGATTTTGTTGCACAATGCACACTCTAAATCACTGGATTTGTTATTTGTGCACAAATGTACCCTCTAAACATACTGGTTTGGTTGCACAATGTACCCTCTAAAACCCTGGATTGTTGCACAATTGGACACTCTAAATCCTGGATTTGTTTGCACAATGCCACTCTAAAACCCTGGATTTGTTGCACAATGCACACTCTTAAAAACCCTGGATTTGTTGCACAATGCACCTTCATAAACCCTGATTTTTGGTTGCACAATGCACCCTCTAAAACCTGGATTTGTTTTTTTCGTTGCACAATGCACACTCTAAAACCTGGGGATTTTTTGTTTGCACCAATGCACACTCTAAATCCCTGGATTTTGTTGCACAATGCACCTCTGAAAACCCAGGATGTTTTGCACAATGCACACTTTTAAACCTGGAGGTTGCACAATGCACCCTCTAAAAACTCTGGATTGTTGCACATGTCCCTCTAAAACCCTGGATTGGTTGCTCAATGCACCTTCAAAACCCTGGATTTTGTTGCACAATGCACCCTTCTAAACCCTGAGTTGTGTTTGCACAAGCACACTCTAAAACCTGGAATTTTGTTGCACAATGCACACTCTAAAACCCTGGATTTGTTGCACAAATGCACCCCTCTAAAACCCAGGATTTTTTGCACAATGCAACACTTTAAAACCTGGAATTGTTGCACCAAATGCACCTCTAAAACTCTGGATTGTTGCACAATGCACCCTCTAAAAACCTGGATTGGTTGCACAATGAACTTACTAAAACCCTGGATTTGTTGCACAATGCTCCTTCTAAAACCAGGTTTTTTTTGCACAATGCACCCTTAAAACCAGGTTTTTGTGCACAGTGCACACTTTAAGGCCACAAGGGGGGGGGGGAGGTCGAGGTCAATTTTGAAATTTTGAGATATTTTGTAGTGCTCGATCTTCATTTTCAAATGCTTTTGTACCTTACGAAAAATATGTTTCCTATTTGAAGTTATCTGCGCGTTTGAATTTTGTGGTTTACCTGTAATTCTATATTAAATGAAAACCTTTAAAATGCAATTGTGTTCAAAATCTATCTTCTGTTTTAGTTTATGACTTAGAAACCTTGTACTTCGGCAACATTGTTCTTTAAGGTATTTGAGTAGGTTTTTGTTATGTATAGATTTATGACTTCTTGCATCAAAGCTGAGATATTTAGGCTTAACCATGAGTGAGAAATTACAAAAATTTACAAAATTTTAAATGGGTTAACCTCATAAAAAGAGTTAGGAGCTAAATTACAACAATTCGGTTACATATCAAACTTTAAATTTATGTCAGGAACATATAAGTTCCATAATTTGAGGTGAAATGGATTACATATGCTCTTGGAGAAGATTGGTTTTTGAGGTGGTAAATAAATTGTTCAGTAGAGAGAGCTTATGGACCATGATTCTGAGAAAAATATGTTAACACTCAATTTTCCAACAAATAAAAGGACATATAATAGTTCTGTTCAATTGGATGGCCAATCTCGATACCATTGTAAGTTTAACTTGCTGATGGGAGGGAGACAACAAAATTGTTATTAAATGGTTATTTGTGAGGTAACTGATTAAAAAGGCAATAGTTAAACCTCTATTTTACGACAAATAGGCGCTTCTGGGGGGCTAGGGTGGTGTGCAAGCGCAGTAGTACGTGGTCTGCCAACTGGCAAAAATTTTTTTGACTCGGACCCCCCCCCCTGTGGCCTTAAAACCCTGGATTTGTTGCACAATGGCTCCCGCTAAAACCCAGGATTTTTTGCACAATGCACACTTTAAAACCCCGAGAATTGTTGCACTATGCACCCTCTAAAACTCTGATTTGTTGCACCAATGCACCTTCTAAAACCTGGATTTGTTGACACTGGCACCACGCTGAAAACCATGGATTTGTTGCACAATGCACACTCTAAAACCATTGGATTTGTTGCAACAATGCACACTCTAATACCCTGGATTTGTTGGCACAATGCACCCTCTAAAACCCAGGTTTTTGCCACAATGCAACTTTAAAACCCTGGGAATTGTTGCAAATCGCACCCTCTATAACTCTGGATTTGTTGCAAAATGCAACCTCTTAAAAACTGATGTTGCACAATTGCAACTCTAAAACCCTGGTTTTGTTGCCACATTGCACCTATAAAAACCCTGGATTTGTTGCCAAAAATGCACCCTCTTAAACCTTGGATTTGTTGCACAATGCACCCTCTAAAAAACCTGGGATTTTTTTGTACAATTCAACCAATGCTTAATGTAGACATTACACCACTCACTACCGTCAATGTGTACAATTACGTGGACTCGATTACAGCAGCGTACAAAGGGCATATTTCTCAAGAAAAAAAATAAAAAATAAAAATATGTATTAGTTGAGAGGGAGAGGATCACCTCTTCCATTAATAATATAGAATAAGTGCGTTTTGTAGTAATTACTGCTGCTAACCTTGCAGCATTTAGCCTATAAAATGAATACACGCGGGAAAGGTATAGAGAATGATATAATAGCGTGACATACTATTATATTCTTATAATTATATCATATGAATTGATTGCACTGCTAATAAATAAAATACTTTGTTTTACTAAAAATACTTTGTTTTACTAAAACCGATGGGTATCGGGTAAAGCCCAAAAAACGAATAATTATCAAACAATGGTTGAGATGTGATACATACAGGTTGCCAGGGTGCCCTACACCCCTGCAAGTAGCCTATGCCCTATGCTATGTAAAATTTAAAAAAGAAAGAAAAAAAGGGGGACCCCCAACCCATGTAGCTGAGACACCTCACAGCAAGTAGACCAAAGTGGCTCTTGCTTGTGATCAATGCATCAACTACCCGCCGAAGCGGTGGGTTTGGAGTCCCCCCTGGGATCATTTTGTCCATAAAATTGTATACAATATAGCCTATGCTATCTGTGTATATATACTATATAAACGACTTGACATAAATATCATTCCAGTTTACATACTTTGTAGTATGACAGTAAGGTATATAAGAAGTTATTTAATTTTGCTTGGGCTATTATATTGACTATTGAGGTTTAATGATGATATGGAATTTGAATTCTATATAAATTTACACTATGTGGTTGGGGCATTTTGCATAGTAAATATGGTTACTACTCCTATATATCATATTATTTGATTGGTATTCGATTTCTGATTATTTCTTAGGAATATGATTATTATATCTCAATTTGGCTTTAGGTAGGGTGCCCCGCTAAAAGAACTGGATTCTTCCAGGAAGCATCCCGTGCACAGACCTTGGTCTACATATAATATATTAAATTATTAACCATTCATTCTGTATGTGCACGAAAATTTATTTCAATCAAAAAAAACATACAACCTGACAGGTTCTACCAATCCAAGTGGTAAAATAAGTTTCCATTCAGTTAGCAGTAAACAGTGTCAAGCACTGGTTGTACAAATATAATAGGGACATACCAGTTGCAGTGGCTGGAGCATAGTTGGGAGTCTACTCAAGGAACTAGATTCTAGGCATGGGTGGTCCCTCTAGATTGATACATCTTGAGCTTATCATTTTTATGATTTCACTGCAGACCTGGATGCATTTTCGGTCTCTAGCAGAAAATATCAGTCATAAGAAAGGTCAAAGGTACTGTGATGTGGTGTCCTTCATCAAACACAGACTGCTTTTCGATTTACTAGGAAATGACAGGAATTTGTGATCTAGACTGATAAACAAGTTACCTAGAGAAGAAATGCTCCGGGTGTTATGTCTGTAAGGTTGGGTAAAGGCCTGGACTGCTCGTTGCTATTATTAATACAATTGGCTTTTATATTGACTGGAAAAGAAGATAGATTTTAGACTCTATTTTCAGTATGCATGACTGAAAATTACTCTCGCAAGGGGGTCTTCTGTCCAGCTTATATCTTCTAAATGATCCCTAGAACATATCCTGGAATTTCAGGTGATAGCTCAAAAACTGTAGGAGAAGGTAGACTTTTAGACTCTATTTTCAGGGCGCAATTGAAATTATCTCGCGTCATATAATTACACATAGGTGCTAACCTTTGACTGGTGATAACTTTGGCTTGGAACAATAATTTTCCATAGGATCAAAAGCAGCTGATAGATATCACTCCCTTCTATTAGAAACAACTAAAAAGTCGATTTCAAGAAGAAAATTTTCATGAAGAAAAAGTAAATTTACTTTTTAAAGAATTTAATTTTCAAATTTTGATTCATTTCAATGTAAATAATGGATTATACTGAAAATTTTAATTTACCCTCAACATTAGATAATGGATGAAGAGACAGATGATCCACCAGCTTTGATGGACGAATGCACTAAGGAACATATACATGTCTCCAAAATGTTTGGGGATAATGGAGACTCTACAGTAGATCCGCAGGAGGAGGTTATGGAATCTGAAGGGGGCGAAAAAGCAGAAAATCCATTGCTCTATCAAAGAGAAATCGAGCAGAGTGGGAACAAGACTTGTGGCAGAGTAGAGGAGAAGGCTGAGTTGAGCAGACGTGACATTACACTAAGAGATGCTACACCACATAGACTAAATGCAGAGACTGAAATCATTAAGTCAGAGGAGGGGAAGGGACCATCTCCGATCAAGACATCTAAACCTTTTGATCTGTACCCTAGTGTGAGTTAGTACAGTAAAAATGGTTTTTTAAACGTTTGCTCATGAAAATTGAATACAGAGTTATTTATCATTATCAACTGATAATTGAACTCCCTCGTGTTGAAACTTAACCCACAGACCCTTCAGTTGAGTGTGTCACAAACAGCATTTTCGGATACTTCCTCGGTACTTTCTCCAGCCAGCAGCAGCGAGAATTACAATGAACCTCTAAATCTCAGTACAGGTGAGCATTACAATGAACCTCTAAATCTCAGTACAGGTGAGCATTACAATGAACCTCTAAATCTCAGTACAGGTGAGAATTACAATGAACCTCTAAATCTCAGTACAGGTGAGCATTACAATGAACCTCTAAATCTCAGTATAGGTGAGCATTACAATGAACCTCTAAATCTCAGTATAGGTGAGCATTACAATGAACCTCTAAATCTCAGTATAGGTGAGCATAACAATGAACCTCTAAATCTCAGTACAGGTGAGCATTACAATGAACCTCTAAATCTCAGTACAGGTGAGCATTACAATGAACCTCTAAATCTCAGTACAGGTGAGCATTACAATGAACCTCTAAATCTCAGTACAGGTGAGCATTACAATGAACCTCTAATATAATCTATATATAATATTTATATTGTAACCATGATAATGATTACAGATATGGAGTTTACTGTATATATATTGTGACCATGGTAACGATTACAGATATGGAGTTTACTGTATATATATTGTGACCATGATAACGATTACAGATATGGAGTTTACTGACAGTGAGACTGAAGCGAGACATGCTGTATGTAACATCTCCTCTCACAGTGGACTAAACATTAACAATAGTAATGTTACTTCACACACCAAACCTAAAGTTCAGCTCCCTTCTTTCTCCCCACAGAGGTTTCATTCCTTCAATTTATTCTAGATTCTTTTAGCTTACATTTAGATCAAGAACAATTTAGAATCAAGACATAAATGAGCTTTTTGTTATTGTGACGAAGTACAAAATACCAGGATATTTGTTTCTGTGCTGATTTAGATCAGTTGTTTGGGAACCCTTCTGCTCTCTCTTAAACATAGTACTATACTATACTAATTATACTCTATATATAAAATAATGCTCTTTTAAAAATCTGAGTATATTTTCAGGTTTCCGCAGTCAATGTCTCCATTACACGTATCGGCTGGTTACGCTTCACCAGCTACCAGTATCCATGGCAACCAATCCCCCACACGTTCATTTCTCCCGGACGGTTTATCGGAGAACATCTCAGCTGTCAGAGTTAAAGTTAGATCCCGTCACGCTAGTTTCTCGGTAAGTTAGATCCCGTCACGCTAGTTTCTCGGTGAGTTAGATCCCGTCACGCTAGTTTCTCGGTAAGTTAGATCCCGTCACGCTAGTTTCTCGGTAATTTAGATCCCGTCACGCTAGTTTCTCGGTAAGTTAGATCCCGTCACGCTAGTTTCTCGGTAATTTAGATCCCGTCACGCTAGTTTCTCGGTAAGTTAGATCCCGTCACGCTAGTTTCTCGGTGAGTTAGATCCCGTCACGCTAGTTTCTCGGTAAGTTAGATCCCGTCACGCTAGTTTCTCGGTAAGTTAGATCCCGTCACGCTAGTTTCTCGGTAATTTAGATCCCGTCACGCTAGTTTCTCGGTAATTTAGATCCCGTCACGCTAGTTTCTCGGTAAGTTAGATCCCGTCACGCTAGTTTCTTGGTGAGTTAGATTCCGTCACGCTAGTTTCTTGGTAAGTTATATGCCGTCACGCTAGTTTCTCGGTGAGTTAGATCCCGTCACGCTAGTTTCTCGGTAAGTTAGATCCCGTCACGCTAGTTTCTCGGTAAGTTAGATCCCGTCACGCTAGTTTCTCGGTAATTTAGATCCCGTCACGCTAGTTTCTCGGTAATTTAGATCCCGTCACGCTAGTTTCTCGGTAAGTTAGATCCCGTCACGCTAGTTTCTTGGTGAGTTAGATTCCGTCACGCTAGTTTCTTGGTAAGTTATATGCCGTCACGCTAGTTTCTCGGTAAGTTAGACCCCGTCCCGCTAGTTTCTCGGTGAGTTAGATCCCGTCACGCTAGTTTCTCAGTAATTTAGATCCCGTCACGCTAGTTTCTCGGTAATTTAGATCCCGTCACGCTAGTTTCTCGGTAATTTAGATCCCGTCACGCTAGTTTCTCGGTAATTAAGATCCCGTCACGCTAGTTTCTCGGTAATTTAGATCCCGTCACGCTAGTTTCTCGGTAATTTAGATCCCGTCACGCTAGTTTCTCGGTAAGTTAGATCCCGTCACGCTAGTTTCTCGGTAATTTAGATCCCGTCACGCTAGTTTCTTGGTGAGTTAGATCCCGTCACGCTAGTTTCTCGGTGAGTTAGATCCCGTCACGCTAGTTTCTTGGTGAGTTAGATCCCGTCACGCTAGTTTCTCGGTGAGTTAGATCCCGTCACGCTAGTTTCTCGGTAAGTTATATGCCGTCACGCTAGTTTCTCGGTAAGTTAGACCCCGTCCCGCTAGTTTCTCGGTGAGTTAGATCCCGTCACGCTAGTTTCTCGGTAATTTAGATCCCGTCACGTTAGTTTCTCGGTAAGTTATATGCCGTCACGCTAGTTTCTCGGTAAGTTAGACCACGTCCCGCTAGTTTCTCGGTGAGTTAGATCCCGTCACGCTAGTTTCTCGGTAATTTAGATCCCGTCACGCTAGTTTCTCGGTAATCTAGATCCCGTCACGCTAGTTTCTCGGTAATTTAGATCCCGTCACGCTAGTTTCTCGGTAATTAAGATCCCGTCACGCTAGTTTCTCGGTAATTAAGATCCCGTCACGCTAGTTTCTCGGTAATTTAGATCCCGTCACGCTAGTTTCTCGGTAATTTAGATCCCGTCACGCTAGATTCTCGGTGAGTTAGATCCCGTCACGCTAGATTCTCGGTGAGTTAGATCCCGTCACGCTAGTTTCTCGGTAATTTAGATCCCGTCACGCTAGTTTCTCGGTGAGTTAGATCCCGTCACGCTAGTTTCTTGGTGAGTTAGATCCCGTCACGTTAGTTTCTCGGTAATTTAGATCCCATCACGCTAGTTTATCGGTAATTTAGATCCCGTCACGCTAGTTTCTCGGTAATTAAGATCCCGTCACGCTAGATTCTCGGTGAGTTAGATCCCGTCACGCTAGTTTCTCGGTAATTTAGATCCCGTCACGCTAGTTTCTCGGTGAGTTAGATCCCGTCACGCTAGTTTCTTGGTGAGTTAGATCCCGTCACGTTAGTTTCTCGGTAATTTAGATCCCATCACGCTAGTTTCTCGGTAATTTAGATCCCGTCACGCTAGTTTCTCGGTAATTAAGATCCCGTCACGCTAGTTTCTCGGTAATTTAGATCCCGTCACGCTAGTTTCTCGGTAAGTTGATCCCGTCACGCTAGTTTCTCGGTAATTTAGATCCCGTCACGCTAGTTTCTCGGTAATTTAGATCCCGTCACGCTAGTTTCTCGGTAATTTAGATCCCGTCACGCTAGTTTCTCGGTAATTTAGATCCCGTCACGCTAGTTTCTCGGTAATTAAGATCCCGTCACGCTAGTTTCTCGGTAATTAAGATCCCGTCACGCTAGTTTGTCGGTAATTTAGATCCCGTCACGCTAGTTTCTCGGTAATTTAGATCCCGTCACGCTAGTTTCTCGGTGAGTTAGATCCCGTCACGCTAGTTTCTCGGTGAGTTAGATCCCGTCAGTCGTAAGGCTTGAAATCTTCGTAAAACTACATCATTAGAGCCTGTAAAAAGCACTCTATCAAGTAAAATTCATATATAATCATATTATATTATATATAATCATCACAGTTTATTAACTCAAAAGTAAAAATTGTAACAAAGGCAAAATTTAATCAGTCAAAATTCGTAGCATGTAAGTAATTATGGATGGGGTACAACTCCACTCGGAAAATTATAGTATTTGATAAAGATATACAATATGACATGGCTTGATGGCTTCGTGTGGAAATACAAAACCATGTGATATATTGTGTGCAGCAGGATGTCAGAATTATTGGCGTGTTTGAAAATGTACACTGTACAGTTCTCAATCAAGATACCGATCATTACAGCTTCTGCACAGTCCTTTCTATTTACTTAATAAGAGGAACTAACTTTTGCCATATTTTTAATCAAGTCATGTGTTTAAATCAAGGCGATATATTCTTAACATGTGTGGAACGCTTTTCCCATTTAAAATATACATTTTACCTTTTTAGGTAAAATAGGGGTAAGAAAATATAGGGGCACGCCTCAAATAGGGGTAAGAAATGGGGGCACGCCTCAAATAGGGGTAAGAAATGGGGGCACGCCTCCAATAGGGGTAAGAAATGGGGGCACGCCTCCAATTTTGAGAGTCTATATCTGACAGTTTTAGAGTGGTTTTAGAGTGGTTCAGTGTATGTGTTTGGTACATTATGTAGTTGTTAATAGCTACAGTTATTGGTTAAAGCTCGATAATATGCAAATTACAAGATAGGGGCCGTGCCACAAAAGCCGAGAATATACTCTTTTATAAATTTAGTTGGAGCGCGCGGGCGCCAAATTCATTTTTTGTGATGGGATTCCCGCAGCCCATCCTATCAGCTACAATTTGTAGATATTAGTTGCGCGGCGCTCAACTTACACGGATACATACACCCCGACATCTCAATGTGTACATTTCTCATGTCTCGGTGTGGGAATGTGGGAGGAAGGTGTGCAGCGTTTTAACTGCTCTCATTTTGTCATGTGCGAGTCGTACATTATACATTGTACATTGTACATTGTACATTGTACATTGTGCGATTAGCGGAGAAAATAATTATTGCTGAAGAGGATTGTTAATCAAGGTGTAATGTACTGTAATTATTACTTCGAATACCCCTCAGCAAATTAAGGAAAGGGCTTTCAACCTGTTTTAACAATTTTTATACTGTATCTCACTAACTATGGACATTTCAGACACCCCCAAAATCACCGGCCGATTCTCAGTGGAGATTATTTAAAGTTAACAGAGACATGAAGGAGGAAACCTTTGACGATATAAACGGAGAAAGGAATTTCACACAGAGCCTAACTTTGAAGAATGTTTGCGATGCTAAACTAAATGTATCGGTAAGTTTATTGAGTAGTTTAGGTGAGAGGCCAGGTATTGTCACGAGATTATTGGAATTGAATCAAATTTACACCGCAATACAATAAGGATACTAAATTATTTATAGAAGATTCAATATGCTGTGCAGGACGTTCAAATCAGTCCCAAAAAACTTTCAATAGAATGCCCTACTAAAACATATGCATTAGAGTACTTGATCATGAATAAATGTTTGAAATACTATTTCACTACTATGAAAAGTATTTCAATCATGAGACTAATAAACAGCGAACTACTCCGTTATTTGATGAATAAATGTGTTATAAGTAATAAGTAAATGATTATGGTAAAGTGAGTAATAACATGAAACTGTGGAAATGAAGGCAAGTGACCATTTAACTGTTACGAAGATTATAGAGATATAGATATCAGAGCTCTGTTTAAAGCTGAGCTTAGTTCTGAATTAACAATTCACTCCCCCAGGATAAAGAAGACGGAATATCCCAAGTATCCAGTTGTCCCTCCTCCCCACGACACCTGGGCTCCCCTGTTCGCAGTCTCACTTCTCCTGCTCGCCCTCCTGCTGTGTCCCCCGTACGCCCGGCTATCCTCCCCGTTAATTCCCCTGCTCGTCCCCTGCGTTGTCATGGTAACGTGGAGCAGCGCCTCCCCCCTCACCGCAGCACCACCCCTTCTCCCTCACCCCCTTTCTCTACTCCACCCACCCTCCCTGCACGATGCGTCTCTCCTAACTCCTTCACCCGGGCCAGTTCCTTCACTTTAAAGAGGAAGATAGTGGAGCCGGATTGTGCTAGTCCTCCCAAGAGACCGTGTACCATGGGACTGGGGCACAGGTCCCCTACAGTAGAATACAGGGCCAGGAACCACAGCCCGGCTCCTCTTTCTCCGCTAGCAGTCAGCTCCCAGTCTGCCCCTGAGGGCGAGGTGGTGAGAGAGGTTCCCATTCACCTCCTGGACAAGATAGAGCTAATGAGCGAGCATTTCAGTGCCAACACCAGCGACAACAGCTCTGATTCGTCAGATAGTCCTCCTAGAAACATTAGATTAACGGGCTGAGACCACGTAACCATAACAACCACTGCACGTGGTATGACGTCACATTACGCGACTTGAGATTATGACTTGGTAGACTGGACCTCTGTCTCAATTTCGATAGTGATTATTGGTTTCGTGAAGGTTAAATTCAGTCAAGTCAAGTTGATACTCAGAGAAAATTTGTGTAGAACTGAGCACCCGCCAGTTTGATAACTTGAGACTGGTAAAAATAAGTCACAACAAAGAAGGACCCGGTGCCTGCTCAAAGTGGGACACTGTGCAGATATAATTACGTTCAATTTTATTTGATTTTTTGCAATTTCAGCCGCGGCAGATATGTAACTTTATCACGAGTAGTAGTCATCTCTGCATAGAATCAAGAAATTTGATTCTCTACATAAAATCTTTTTGGGTAAGTTTTTTGGTTAATCGATATCTCACAAGTCAAAGCTAACTTTTTCGACAAATTTATTTGAGAACATTATTCCAACTAATAGCACTAGTAGCTGTTTTTACGTAGAGAACTTCGTGTTACCATGGTTACTAAACCTGGCTACCATTACTTATCGTGACTACTATTAGTGTTATCTATTGTAACTTGTTCATTTAACAATGTTTTGAAAGGGATGAAGTCTAGCTATTTAGTTAGTGTCTATGTTACGACTTTAGGTTTTTGTTTACAAATTGTGGTATAAATTGGCAGATTAGATAAAATTACTTTTCGAGGAGGTGGAGGCTAGGGCTTGGTATGGAAGTTTAAATAAGTTCTGCTCCAAAATGGGGTGATGGACAAATTACCGACGTGGTAATTTGAATGATCCGAGGTAACCTGTTAGTAACATGATTACTTTACAATTTAGTTTTAATACGCTTACTTAGTCACTAAATTAGCTATAGGCATAGCTACATTAATCCAGTTAGGTAATAGGTATCATTTGCATTGCGCATATTACGAAAGCCAAATTAGGGGCAGTTTGGAAATACTAATTTCTACACAAAAGTCTAAAATGGATTACGGAAAAAGGAGGGGTTCTCGCTATTATAAACATAGTTGCTAAAGCTACAAGTTGCTACTGTAGTTACTTTCAGTTACTGTAATTTTTATTGCAACATGCAGTAATTATCTCTAGTTACAGTAGTTACTCCTTTATAATACAACATGTTACATGTTGTTCCTGTAGTTACTTAGTTACTAATATCTACTTTAGTTACTTACTCCTATTTAAGTTGTTTTAATAACGTGATACCCCCCCCCCCCCCCCATAAGGAACCTGGTTATCATACTTCGTTCACATTTAGTAACTATGGGGGGGGGGGGGCCAACCATATTAAAGTATATTAAAGTATATCCCCGGGTCAAAATCGGAAAAAATCCTACATTTTAATATACTTTAATATACCTACAATTAGAAGATTTATATTCTTCGTTAAGATTTACATGATGAACTATATTTTTCACTCAGATTCGCAAGATAAGCCTGTTTTAGGACTAGTACATGAATTTCCATCCAGATTGGTCAAAAATTGGCTGAGCTTTAAAAAATATGCCCATATTTGGGCATACGCTTTTGCCCAAATTCGCTTTTGCCCAAATTCGATAAAATTTCAATATTTTTTAATGAGACTAACTCTATGTGAAAGATATAACTCAGTGTTTGTTGAATATAGTGGATACTAAGTAAAAAGACCTCCATGAACAAAATTGGGAAAATTGCACATAATATCTCGGTTCGGAATACTAGCCAAAATGACTTCATTAAAATTGAAATAACTCCATCAGTTTTCAATATTTTTTCAAGAACTTTTTGGAATCGATTAAGAGTTGCATTTCAAGCTTATTTTGGGCAACAATTTTTGATGTAGGCCTCCAAGGAGATAGGGATATATTAAAGTATATTAAAGTATATTAAAGTATATTAAAGTATATCCCCGGGTCAAAATCGGGAAAAATCCTACATTTTAATATACTTTAATATGGTTGGCCCCCCCCCCCCCCCCAACTATATACTAGCACTATAATAATTGCCACCGGTATGTACTGTGATTACCTCGTTTCTTTAGTTTCTATAATTTATAAAATTAGTGATAATTGTAGTTAATTTCAGTTACCAATATGGTTCCCATATTTACTGTAGTCCTATTGTGACAACTGTTACCTAGGTTAGAGTCGGGCTAAGCTTTTTCTTTCATCTAATTGTTGTGCACACTATTATTGTGCAACTATCTCTAGTTACAGTAGTTACTCCTTTATAATACACACTAATTGTCTATTTTGCGGAATATTTATAAACTGTTTTGACTTAACTTATTGGAAAATATTTATTGTGTTTCACCGTGATATTGTTGTTTTAATAATGAAAAGGACGAATTTCTATTGCCCATTATAAATTTGTAACAAATATTGGTCGATGCATAACATCAAATTTCACCCTACCCAAAGACCAATATTTCTTTTAAACTTTTATAGGGTTAAAATGCTCCCCTAGCGAGATATTGGCGAAAAACTGTCTCGATCACGTGATATGACCATATAATATACGGAAGTTAGTCTAATTTCTTGTTAGGGCCGGTTAGGGTTTCAGCATATGCTTTTGTTAGAGATTAGGTTAGGGTTTTGCCATACGTTGTATGACCCGCCGAGCACGAGTGCGCGGCTCCCCCTGTATCGCGTCAGGACCTAGTGAAACGACCGTGGGGGGTCACGACGTGATACAAGTTAGGGTTAAGGTTGGGATCAGATTAGAGGGCTAGGATTTCGAATAGTCATTCTGGGCCACCAAGAGAACGTGTTTAAAAAGTCACGTGACAGTCGAGTGTAGAGTGATGAATCATCATCCTAATCATGGCTGTTGTAGCGCGATGCACTATTGGCCTCGCCAAGCTGCGAATAATTGACATCGCCAATTAATCATGGCTGCCCCCCTGGACTTTTTTCCCTAGAAAACACCTTTCTCTACGTTTCATGCTACCCTGATCATGCTATCATGATGAGCCGAAATCATTGTTATATATATTATGATATCCAGCCAAGCACCTTTTAAACTATAATTACTATTATAGCCGGATATTCGATCAATTTCTAAATTTTATCACTATTATAAAAGTGTGAAAAAGAATGAAATTGAGTCTAGTGGTAAAAAAGAAAACTTTGATTACGTAATCAACGACTTACCTAGCTGGGGACCTCAGGCTATCATGTTCATAAAAATAAACATCCGAATAGAGATTCGGCGGAATGACAGGCTGAGCGCGGCCCAGTAATCAACGACCAAAACCCCCCTCCTATCTATATATCCCCCTTGTAATTACCCTAACCCCCCTCTCCTCGGCTGATTACGTAATATGTGAACGACCCCATACCAGTGATGCATTTTGTTGTAGCGCGATGCACTACTGGGTCGCGCGCGCATCAAATAATGCTTCTCGTATGCAGATCGGCGAGATGCGAAGGATTGACATCGTGAATCAATGCATTTTGCTGATCACGCGGGCCGAAGATTGTGGTTGTCAGAAACATTACTTGATGCGCAGCGTGGCCCAGTTAAGTTAGTGCATTGCGCTTTATGTTGCACCACGTTTTGATTCACGATGTCAATTGTCAATCCTTCGCATCTCGATGATCTACAGTGTACAGGTTGCAAGAAGATGCGCGGCCCAGTAACACATCGCGCTACAATATCATTGACATTACTGGGCCGCGCTCAGCCTGTCATTCCGCCGAATCTCTATTCTATGTTCTATGTTTATGAATTCACATAGCCATGTGTATACGCGTACTGCGTGACGCGCTCTTGTGCGCTCGTTTCACAAGTTGAATATATACACATATAGATAAGCACTCATAATATGGTACGTGTGCGCGCGCGCAGTGCTGACAATAGCGTCGTATTTAACCCCGGGTGCACGTACATCGTGTGCGATGATTGGTCTCTATTTGAGGGTTTATGTCTATTCCAAGAAGTTTTTAGACGATGAAATCAGAAATACGGTCGCGCGTTACTGCAAGCGAGAGGGCTCTGGTTAGGGCAAGTTTATGAACATGATAGCCTGAGGTCCCCATGTAACAATATTACGTCGTGACCCCGGCCCCATTACATTACATTGTCGTTTCACTAAGTGGCCACGATACAGTCGCGCACTCGTGCGCGGCAGCTCTACAATCCACCTAACCATGTGCTTTCGCGCTACTGCAATTCAAGCGAAAGGGCTCTGTACTGGATAGAGCAAGGTCTACAACATATGAAAACATTGCGCTACAATACTATAAAGTACTTAATTAAAGTACTTAATTAGCTCGTTGGGTATTCCATTTGTAGGACCATTGGCCCTCCCATTTTTCAAGCCCGAGGTGGCTGCATGGCATGAATTTCAAGTCCAGTAACTAAGTAGTGCTTGTGGACGTATCTACCGTATTAAGAAATGCTTGCCAGAATCACTATATAAGCAAATATATCATTCTCTCTTTGAATCACACCTAGGTTATGCTATTTCTGTCTGGGGAGGTATTCCCAATAATCAGTTGAAACCGCTATTTATTACTCAAAAGAAGTGTATCAGGATTCTCTTTGGAGACTTTGAAGCCTATGTAGACAAGTTCAAGACATGTGCTAGAGCAAGACCAATTAATTCTCAACGTCTAGGATCTGAATTCTATGTTAAAGAGTCCACCAAACCTCTATTCACAAAACACGAACTACTTGCTATAGAGAACCTATACAGATACCGTTGTTTAATGGAATTGTTTAAGATCATTAAGTCACGAGTACCAATTTCGTTATATTACCTATTCGGCTTATCAAATAGGAAAGATAATTTGTTAATCACGCCCTCTCCAACTAATCAATTTATGTACAAATCTGCATGGCTGTGGAACGAATTTCGTAAAGTTGGGCCGATGAATTTCACCTCCCCTTGCAGCTCTGTCAAGAATTTGCTTAAACAGTCACTTCTAAGAGCTCAAAACAGGTATGGAACTGATTGGTGTGACAAAAATTTCACTGAATTCTGAGTATGAAGACTGGTGATAAACAAGCAAGGCCACATCGCTGCCAAATACTTGGGGCAGAATTCCACTCTAGAGAATCAACAAAACCTATTTTCCAATCTAAGGAACTAATGACAGTACATAACATATATAGATACAGATGCATTACTGAAACAATGAAGATAGTGAAGAGTCATCAGCCCATATCCATGTATTCTCTCTTTAAGAAGTCTGAGCTCAGAGATGACAGATTTGTGACACCACACTCATCTCACAATTTCGCATATAAAGGGGCAAATTTATGGAATAGGTTTCTTGAGCAGTCAAATGCACGTGGTAAAATAGGTTCACTAGGTTCAATTAAATCCCGATTGAAGCTTTCTATCATGAAGGCTCAACACCAACCTGACAATATTAACTGGCAGGACTTAAACTTCAACACTTTCCTATGAAAAGACCCCCATTTATATTTATATATTTTAGATTTTACACCTGTCACTCACATCATATATGCACCACAAAAGAAAAAAGATTCATTCAATCATTACATTATACACTCACTCCACCACACATGCACACAAAACATTAAAGCAGGTTACACGCGGGTGTAACGTTCACTTTATCCAAAGGGAAAAATAATACTTTACGTAACGCGCGATTTACGTCTTGGTAGCTAAATTATTCAAGTGCTATTTGTCAGAGCGACACAAATGCGCGAGCGCTTGCGCGGCTCACCTATCCAACACTCTTGTTAACATCGTATCAGGCAATGGTTCAGTTTAATTATGGTAAGGGCACAGCCTGTCAA